TTTTTTTAAAAAGATAGAGCTGTACAGGCGAGTAAACGATGAGCCAAAAACAAGTCAGGATGTAAGGAGGCCTGAGCTTCTATCAAGGGTGATGGGAAATTTTGGAAACAGACCATGGCGATGGCTGCACAACATGACCTTGGTCAACAGAATTGACATCACTGACCTGTGCATAAAAAAATTTGAAATCAGAAAATACATATCAGGAGGCTTCTAAATATTCTTGGGAGAAAATCCACAAACTTTTCATTTCATTCCATTTTTCCATGAACTCGTTGAAGCTTCATGTGTGTGGTGGGGGCGGGGGTGGGGTGGGGATGGATGGGAGTGTGAGCGAGCACTCGCTTGTGCCACAATTCTGAAATAATACAGTCCTAATTGAACATTCTTTTTCTCTCCCAGGTGACAAAGTCATCACGCTCTTTCTACCACAGTGTGGAGAATGTACCTCTTGCCTAAATCCTGGAGGTAATGTTTGCATAAAATTTAAGTAAGTCTCTATTATTATCTTCTTTTTGAAAAATTAATTCCATTTCATTGCGAAAGATCTAAGTGTTCTAACTCTACATACTTTTTTATGTTTACTTTTTGTGTGTAATAGAGAGTCACAGAGTGGGCTGATGTCTGACGGCACCACTAGGTTTACCTGCAAGGGAAAATCAGTGTATCACTTGACTAACACGAGCACCTTCACTGAATATACCGTGACTAAAGAAATTGCAGTTGCCAAGATTGATGCAGGTGCACCTCTTGAGAAAGTATGCCTAATTAGCTGTGGCTTTTCCACAGGCTATGGTGCGGCAATCAATACTGCCCAGGTGAGGGGCATTTACACTCATTATGAACAGAAACCTTGAGATGTCAAGTTGAAAGCCTGAGGTGACATGTGGTCATGCAATCTGGGGAGAGGGGATTACAGACCTGTTTGTAAATATCTCTGAGTGCTCTACCTTCTGCCAAGTCATCCCGTGCACCCACCACTATTTCCCCACAGTAGGTAGTAAGTGGCAATCTTGGGTTCCATTCACGAATGGGGGTATAGAGACTGGGAGTTGAGCATAACACAGATACCATGTGGCTGTGTGTCCTTCCACAATCCAATCAGTTATTTATTTCACTCAGTAACCATTTATGGAGTGTGTATTATAGCAGGTACTCTTTGGAGTACTGGAATTTAGTAGCTGGTAAAACTCATTGAATTTACATTGTAATGGCAAAATAACAAGGTGGGGGTACATAAATCTATAGCAGGTGGTAATGAGTACCAATAAAAAGGAAAATTAGAGAGATCAAGGTCCAAAAGGGAATATTGATATATTGGATTTGTCAAGGAATCCCACAATGATTGACAAGGAAACTATTAAACTATTGCATCCAAATCTTCCCAGCACCCTGCTATAAGTGCTTATTGAATTTTAGGTCTTTGCTTTTTCCAATGTCCATTATGAGCTCCAGTGCTGTGTAGAGAAATCAGGTGGAAGGAGCTCAGTTTACTCTGAGGAATGCAAAGTCAAAGGTACCCAAAAGGAAAAAAAGGAAGGGAGGCTTGCAAGAAGATGGAACTCTTAAGGGACTTAAAAATACTTGAAAGGAAAACAAGATTCTGTCAAATAAGTCATAAGATTCAAATAATCTAGATTAAGCTACTTAATTCCTGGGACTTGAAACTCCACTTATAGGTAGCTTTTGCTTCTGTTGTAAGAGTGTCTCCTAGCTATGACCATACTGAGAAACTAAAACTCTAGTGTCAAATGTTTTATTTGAGAATATCCTTGGCTAATATCTCAAATAAAGCTGCACTTGGCCTTCCTAAGCGAGTAAGTGCGCAGGTTCCATTTGCTTTGCTTTTCTGCCTTCACTGTGCTCAGGTCACGGCTGGTTCTACCTGCGCTGTGTTTGGCCTTGGGGGAGTCGGCCTGTCTGTGATCATGGGCTGTAAGGCAGCAGGAGCAGCCAGGATCATCGCAGTGGACATCAACAAAGACAAGTTTGAGAAGGCAAAACAAATGGGGGCCACTGGGTGCATCAGCCCAGAAGACTTTGAGAAGCCCATCCAAGAAGTTTTAATTGAGATGACCGATGCTGGTGCCGATTTTAGCTTTGAGGTCATTGGAAATCCGGAGACTGTGGTATGTAGTCCTCTCCAGTGAAATGTGCCGGCGATCCCCTGGGATTCTAATGAAAACCTTAAATTCCCTACACAGTTCTCTACCTTTTCTTATGCCCTCAAGATAGCCCAGCTGGTACACATTGTCCACTCTAGCAAGTCTGTTCACTGTCCTCAACATTGAATCGAGAACCTCTTGTCCTTTCTTCCATCATACCAGTCCTTCATAAGAGATAAGCAGATAAGCTGCAACAGGCAGGAGAAGCAGACTTACGTAAAGAGTTCTAGCTAAATTATTTCATAACAAGACATAACCTTTTCACTATCATTTATGAGCCAGGAAATGTAAGCCGTGTAACGTAAGCACTGAATATGAAACCCTGTAAAACAATGAGCTTTACATGTTCAACCAAGTCCTTAGTCTTAGATCGGAGATAAATTTCTATGGCTCACGATCTCCTTATCTTGATTAAATGGGCTCACTTCAAAAATGAAATGTTTTGAAATCATTGAAATGGTTGTTTTTTGGTTTTCTCTGTTTGCTGGGAGAACATGGTTTATCTAAAAGGAAAACAGAGAATGAGTTATTTTAAAAATCTGAGGCTTGTTTTCTTGGGAAATGATGTATTATTGGACTGCATGGCTTGATCTTCTGAACAGCTGTTTGAAAATTCACAACCTGCCTCTTCCAGTCTGGGTCCTTTCCTCGGGACAGAGAATGTTCTCATTCCTCATCATGTCTAATTCCCACTTCTGTAAAGAGAATGTAATGCAACCTTTCACATCGTTTTGCTTGGAGAAACAGCCTATGTGAGAAATAGTGCTATGCCAATATCTAGCTCTTCAGAATTGAAAAAGAGAGTCAGTCATAACCAACCACTGGCGTTAGTGAGGTTCTGATAAAAATTATTATTACCATGGATGCTATAATTATTTTCACTTTTGTTCCTTCCTCTTGTTGTGGTTGTTGTTAGGTGCCATCGAGTCGATTCTAACTCACTGCAACCGTATGTGCAGCAGAACGAAGCACGGCGCTTCGCCATCCTCACAATGAGTGTTCTGCCGCCGTGTCAGCCTCTTGCTGAGGGCCTCACTCTTTTTTGCTGCCCCTCTTCCTCACCAGGAATGATCTTCTTCTCCAGGGACTGGTCTTTCCTTTCATTTATTGAGTTCTGTATTATCAGGCACCCTGATGGTACAATGTTTAAACGCTCCCTGGGCTGCTAACCACAAGGCTGGCGATTTGAACCTACCAACATGTGTTCGGAAGAAAAGCCATAACAACGGGCTCCTATAAAGAATCCAAAAAGTGAACGAAAAAAACTACCATAGTAACCCCATGTAGGTTTTCCAACCCTGTAAGTTCTACTCTGTCATTTAGGGTCACTATGAATCAGAATCAACTCAAAAACAATCACAACACGAACCAGAACGGACTCCAGGATGCACAGCAATAAAATATACCGGGCAACAATGTTTTAACTATGTTTCATAGCATCTTTTATAAAGTACATGTTATTTGAAATGCGGATAAGGAGAACCAGAAAGGAAGGTCCCAGATCATTCCGCAGTCGAGTTGAGAGTGAAACATAGAGCCGAGTCCTAAGTACATCTTCTAGTCACTGCACCTTCTGCTTTTGCTTTGTGACAGGTGGCCGCCCTGACATCCTGCCATGAAAGCCACGGGGTCTGTGTGATTGTGGGATGGATGACTGTTGGTGTCCAACTCAACATCAGTGGCGGGTTGTTCTTCTCAGGGCGTTCACTGAAGGGAACTGTTTTTGGAGGTAAGGATGAAACAGGGAAGGGTGGAAATGCCCTGGGAGGTTCAAGGTGGGGAATAGAAGGAGGTGTACCAGAGACAGTGAGAAAGGACCCTAAACAAGAATTGTACATTGACGTTTTTATGTCAGGGCATACATTCTCAAAGTAAGGGTATGGAGAGTAGATGTATCCAGTTGCTCATTGGCAAGCTTTCTCTCATGGGAAAGGAGAGAAAACATTTCAAAATTTTGGTAAAGAACCCAGTATCAAAAGCTTAATGTTGGGTTACCTGCCAATTGGGATTCTTTGGGGAGTGTACTTAATCGGTAGTAGTCCTTGTTCAACTAATATCAAATTTTATACCAAACAACTGAGTTAGCATCATACCAACTCACAGATACAAAACATGATGAATTCGTGATTGAAAGAAACCCAACCAGTAGATAAAACAGATTTTTTTTAAGGAAAAAATATCTTTCATAGAATCTTTCATTTCTCTTTTCTCTATGGCTGTTTTGTGACGTGTATTTTTAATAACCTTTGGATAAATCTTTTATTCAAAAAACAGGAAATTAATCTACTTAGACTTCTAGGCTCATAAACAAGTAATCTGACTTATTTTATCCAGAGATTTTGGGCAATCTGAATTTGGGGGCAAATGAGAAGAAATGTAAGAACTATCTAAATGTCTTGGGCTAATGAGCTATGTCACCAAATTAGCTACGTAAGTTGTTAGAGATGACTATGGTTCAGAATCCAGTAGACAAACATCATCTCACAACAACATTGTTACAACTACTAAGACTCTTACCAAATCTTACCAAATTTATGAAAAGTTGATAAAGAAAGAAAAAGGTTTAAACTGCAGTTTTAGTCCTTTTCTTTGGAATAATTGAACACTGCCATTGCCCTCTCATATTTATAGATGATAACTGTTGATACCAAATACATATAAGCAGTTAACTTTTATAAAATAAGATCACCAATATTTTGAATAGCCCTCATAATAAACCCACTCCATGCCTACTTGAGCTTCATGTAGTGACCATAGACAGAAACTAGTTGCCTCTGAATATCTTCTGACTCATGACAACCTTTTGTATGTCAGAGTAGAAACTGTATTTCATAGAATTCTCAATGGCTGATTTTTTTTTAAGTAAATCTTCAGGGCTTTCTTGCGAAGTGCCTCTGGGTAAACCCAAATGATAAACCTAAGTTACTTCCTTTACATTTAGTATTCTTTGGTTCAGTGGTTTTCACTGGAGGATAGCATTTCATGTGTGTTTGATAGACCTGCTAGACCTCCTACAATATGCAAGATGAAGTACTGGCCCCACCCAAAATTCCATTAGTGTCCCTGCTGAAGAGCACAACCTGGGGATACTTCCTTCTCGCGTTTTGTTAAAAAGAAAAAGAAACAAAAATCAAGTGAAAGTTGTCTTACATTGCTTTAAAAAAGCTTTATCAGATCATGAAGCAAATGACAAAAACAGAGAAGCCTCCCTTATCCCTTCATCAATATTAGAAATGCTGGTTCTGACCTTAGGTCTCATGTGCTGCTGTAACAGAAATGCCAAGAGTATGTGGCTTTAACAAGCAGAAATTTATTTTCTCAGAGTTTAGGAGGTTGGGAGACTAAATTCAGGATGCAGGCTTTAGAGGATCTCTCTCTCTCTCTCTCTCTCTCTGTCATCTCTAAGGGAAGGTCCTTGCCACTTTTCCTTGACTCCTTGGTGATGTTCATGTGGTCAGGCGTCAATCTTCCCATGTCTCTGCTTACTGGCTTGCTTTCACTATCTCTAAAGAGATTGGCTGAAGACACACCCTACACTAATCCTGCTCCTTAACATAATAATACGACCCATTCCTTAAAGGGATTAAAACCACAATAATTGAAATTAAGATTTACAGCATATATTTGGGGGAGACTCAATTCAATTCAAAAGAGTTCCCTCTATTAGAAACCAACTAGTAAAGAAAATAACTCCATTGGAAGGTTCTTGGGTGTCTTTGAGAAACAGTAGGAAGGCTCAAGAACACAGCCTGGCTACAATTAAGAAGATCTCCAAGACGCAACCACCAAGCAAGCAATTTAGAACCCTGTTGCCTCCTTGCACAATTACACCACACCACACTTTCTGAAAGTGAACAGGCCACCAAATTCTATCTGGTAACTCACTGATCATGCCATTTAGCACAGAACTAATAGTAAGGAGTCCTGATGGGGTAGTGGTTACAAGTCAGACTGTGAGCCACATGATGAGCAATTCAACGCCACTGGTAGCTCCAAAGGAGAAAGACTGGACTTTCTACTCCTGTAAACTGTTACAGTCTCGGAAACCCACAGGGGTCTCCACGAGTCAGCATTGACTCAATGGCAGTGAGTTTTTTGTGTTTTGTTTTTAATAGTAAGGACAATATTTCTAGAAAAATCCTGACAAGAGAGAAATGCAATGCTAAGCCCATTCCTGTTCAATTTTTACTTCTAGACAGTGTATTATATTCTCATATTACTTTATACATATTCTTTTTCTAAAAATTCACTAGGTTCACGGTATGATAGTTCTCTTTCTTTAAGGTATTTGGCTCTTTCATGAAGTTGCGCGTCAACACACTCACACACATACACACATAACCTTTGAATCGCTTTCTTTCATGCTTCCTAAGACTTTGTTATACATTAGATATGAATTCACTGCTTCCCACAGACCACAGCCTAACACCTGCTGTTCATTCATTCACTTCAGTAGTACCAAAGGTCTCCTTCAGGAAAAACAAGGCTTTCCACAGGGTACATAGTAGAATCAGGTCTTCTGATGACTGAGTTAAGTTAACAAAACATCTTTAGTCTTCCTCTGCTGAAGCCAACACTTCCAGTGTTATTTTGGATGGATTTTCTTTTCACGTAAAGTCTCATAAATAACATGTCATTAATCTGTGTATTTCCAGGCTGGAAGAGCAGAGATCATGTTCCTAAACTGGTTTCTGATTATATGGCAAAGAAGTTTAATCTAGATCCACTAATTACCCATACTCTGAATTTTGATAAGATCAGTGAAGCAGTTGCATTAATGAAAACCGGAAAATGGCAAGTTTCTCGCATAATGTTTATCTCTGCATGTTTGAGACCCAACAGAAGGGTTTGTGGGTGCCGTGGGACACACAGGAAGAGGAGTCATGACTGGAGGAACACATGCAGGAGGGATCACAAGTTTTTAAAGCACTTTCTCTTCTGTTTGATTAGTTCTTAAAATATGCAATCCTGAAAATAGTTAAGTGATCATTTTCCTTACTGTCAACATTTTATTTCCAATTTGGCATTTTTTAGAAATGGCACAGTGAGTAATAAAATCAGCTCATAAAATGTTTGTTCATATTTAAGTACATAATTTACCAAGAGGCCATTGTGGTTTCTGTTGTGGTTGTTCTATCATTACAAGGGGGAAATTATTCCTATAATTACAAACTCTGACTCCTATCTCTGGCTCTCAAGATTGAAGCCAACCATAAACTGAGCACTGGGAGTTCCCATGTAGGTATAAGCCTGTGTACCTACTCCTTACCCTGGAACTTCATGTTATTTTGAAAACATTGTCTCACAATTGGTTTTGCATACATATTTTTTGCATAACCCGAAAGGAAGGAAATACAGCCAGCTCACTGCATCTAAAATTAAAATTTTGAAATGCTAAAATACAGATGTTGCTTAGAAAAATGTTCAATTTTCTTTTCTTTCTCTTTTTCTTTAGTATCCGCTGTATCCTGATGATTTAAGTACAATATAATTCATGCAAGATCAACAGAAAGTTTCACCAACTGAATTACATTCTGACTAGTGTCATGGTTGAGCAGAACTCTCACGCAGCACTGTCTCTACACTCCTGCTTCTGATTGACTCAGCGGTGAACTCAGCCCTGATTCTTGCTGCCAGTTCATCAAAGTGGTTCCTATGTGTCCCTGGTCACCTAAGATCATTATCTTTTTAAGATCTAGATTGAAGATTGGCTTGAATGAAACTATTTTAGTTCCTTCAGACATCCAAAGGCATTTAAGATATTCCCATTTTCATAATTGCTTCATGTCCCTAGCACACCATTCTCTCTCATACCATATAGCTCACTTCACACCAATGAAACAAAACTCATTCACATGTTTCTTAGAGCTCCAGGATAAAACAAGGCAATGGAAGGCGGAGGGGGAGGGAGGGGTTCCTTCCTCACAGCAATTCAAATAAATCCCTGTTGAATATTAAATTTCTCCTTCTTATTGAGCTCACTTGAGGGGAACTTCTACTCGTATTTTACCTTACATAATCTCAAACCATCAACAGTTCATATTACCTGGCTTACCAAGTAAACCTCTAGAGGTCTAGCAGAAAATAAATTAAAAGTGAAAGAAGTCTTATTATTTCTTAAGATCCACACTCTCTAGAAAGCAGTTGTGAGAGTCTATAACAAAAAATTTTATCCCACTCTCCACAAAAGGAAAAACAAGCATGTTATGATTAATGATGTGTCACAAAATTTTTTCCAACCAACAGGGGATGTGGGAAAGAAAGGTTCATTAATTATTTTGTACACCCAATTCCTTCCACTAAGGACCTCTCCGATTCTCTGCCCAAGTGCCTGTGGATACTCCTAGGACTGAGTCTTCTTGAGATACGATTTCCTTCTCAATCCCCTAGATCAGTGGTTCTCAACCTGTGGGTCTTGACCCCTTGGGGGTTTGAACGACCCTTTCTGAAACCATCAGAAAACACATACTTCCGATGGTCTTAGGAACTGAGACACCGCTCCTCTATCCATCTCAGGCGGATCCACCCACATACAGGTACCCGGCAAGAAGACTGTTACCCATGCTACACCATGCTTCAAGACAAAATTTCATTTATTTGTCAATAGAAAAAATATTTCACAATATTTATGGTAATTACATACAGTTTTTGTGATTAATCACTATGATTTAATTATGTTCAATTTGCAACAATGAAAATACATCCTGCATATCAGATATTTACATTACAATTCATAACAGTAGCAATTACAGTTATGGAGTAGCAACAAAAATAATTTTATGGTTGGGGTCACCACAACATGAGGAACTTTCTTAAAGGGTCGCGGCATGAGGAATGTTGAGAACCACTGCCCTAGATTTAGACCACTATGGTCAGGATCACAATAGAAGGTGCTGGACTGAGAGGGAGAGAGGAAATGTAGAACAAAATTCAAAATCATTAAAAAAGACAAGACTTACTGGTCTGATAGAGACTGGTGGAAACCTAAAACTGTGGCCTTTAGATACTCTGGGTCAGGAACAACCCACCACTAGGAATCAATTAATCAAAATTTTCAGCCAGATAAACAGATCTCCAAAGTGAATAATAACACGAGGAAGAACTCCTCGATACCACATGGAACCACATGAAACCACAAGAGCAGCATTCGCCCCAAAGCAAAGCTCAAAAGACAAGAAAGGGCAGGAAAGAAAGAAAAATGTGACCAGGGAACCCAAGGAGGAAACGGGAAGAGCTATAATATTGAGGGAATTGCAACCAATGTCATGAAACAAAATATGTATAAATTGTTGAATGGAAAACTAATGCTATACATTTTCATCCAAACTATAATAAAAAGTGAAAAGAAGATCTTGTACCAATGACCTCCCCTACCATTTGCAAGGGGGCTTCAAAGGCTCATGAAAAATTTGAACTAAGAAACCATGGAATATTTCTTTTTTTTTATTTTATCATTTTATTAGTGGCTCTTACAACTGTTATAACATTCCATACATCAATTGTAACAAATATATTTGTACATATACTGCCATCATCATTTTCTAAGCATTTACTTTCTGTTTGAGCCCTTGACATCAGCTCCTCTTTTTTCCCTACCTCCACCCCCCTCCCACCCTCATGACTCCTTGATCCTTGATAAATTATAAATTATTATTGTTTTCGTATCTTGTACTGATCACTGTCTCCCTTCACCCATGTTTCTGTTGTTCATCCCCCTGGGGAGGAGGGAATATGCATTGGTTCCCGCTTCCTCCTCTCCCTCCCCCACCTTCCCTCTACCCTCTTGGTATTGCCACTCACATTTCTGTTTCTGAGGAGTTTATCAGACCTGGATTCCATGTGTCCTGAGCTCTTATCTGTTACAATGTGCATGCTCCAGCCTAGCCCAAAGTGAAAAGTAGGACTGGGGTCATGATAGTGGGGGATAAGGAAGCCTCAAAGAACCAGAGGAATATTGTGTGTTTCATCAATGTTACACTGCACCCTGGTTGACTCATGCCTTCCTTGTGACCCTTCTGTGAGGGGATGTTCTATTTTGGGGTCTCTGCTCCAACACCCCTGATTCTCAACAATATGTTTGTTTGCTTGTGGTCTTCTGGTGCTTGTTACCTGATTCTGTCAATACCTCATGATTGCACAGTCTGATGTGCTTCTTGCATGTGGGCTTGTTGCTTCTCTGCTAGATGGGTGCGAGTTTAATTTCAAGCCTTTAAGACCCCAGACTCTATATCTTTTTATAGCCAGGCACCATCAGCTTTCTTCACCACATTTGCTTATGCACACATTTTGCCTTCA